TGAGATTTGGGGTCAGTGGTTGGGATTTGGGGTCAATGGTTGTGATTTGGGATCAGCTGTTAAAGATTTGGGTCAACAGTTGAAATTTGGGGTCAGTGGTTGAGATTTGGGGTCAAGGGTGGACATTTGGGACAAAGAGTTGGGGTTTTGGGTCAAAGGTGGAGAATTTGGGGTCAAACCAGGCCCAAGGTTGGGAGCGACGAGCAAGAGCTGGGTGTGAAGGGGCGGAGCTTTGGGATTTGGGGAGGTTTGAGGACCCCACAAAGGGGGTCAATGGCATCAGCATAACCCAAACCAGCAGCACCAGCACCAGCATGTTTGGCACAGAAATAGGTGGCGGAATCCTCGTCCCTGAGGTTGTTCATCTGCAGCGTCACCGAGCTCTGCCCGTTGTCCCTGGCCATGCTGAACCGGCCCTGCACCGACGGCACGTAGGCGGTGCTGGAACCATCCGTGTAGATCCCAGCGAGCCATTCCAGCCCCTTCCTGGGGCTCTGGCGCACCCAGTGCATGGTGTAGTCACCGAAGGTAAAGCCGGAGGGGCGGCAGAGGAGCCACAGGGGCTGAACGGGGCAGAGCTTGGGGGTCAATGGTTGAGATTTGGGTCAACAATCATGGTACGGGTCAATGGTTGAGATTTGGGGTCAATGGTTGACATTTGGGGTCAATGGTTGACATTTGGGGTCAATGGTTGGGATTTGGGGTCAATGGTTGACATTTGGGGTCAATGGTTGACATTTGGGGTCAATGGTTGACATTTGGGGTCAATGGTTGATATTTGGGGTCAATGGTTGACATTTGGGGTCAATGGTTGAGATTTGGGGTCAATGGTTGGGATTTGGGGTCAATGGTTGACATTTGGGGTCAGGATCTGATCTTTGGGGTCAAGGGCGGAGATTTGGGACAAAGAGTTGGGGTTTGGGGCCAAAGGTGGGGAATTTGGGGCCAAACCAGGCCCAAGGTCGGGACCAACGACCACCTTGGGCAGCCACACCATGGACTGGGTGCGCCAGAGCCCCGGGAAGGGGCTGGAATGGCTCGCTGGGATCTACAAGGATGGTTCCAGCACTGCCTACGCGCCTTCGGTGAAGGGCCGGTTCAGCATGGCCAGGGACAACGGGCAGAGCTCGGTGACGCTGCAGATGAACAACCTCAGGGACGAGGATTCCGCCACCTATTTCTGCGCCAAATATTTCACTGATGGTGGTACTGGTTGGCAAAGTGTTGCTGGTAAAGATTTAGGATCAGGGATAGAAAATTTGGGGTCAGTGGCTGAAATTTGGGGTCAATGGTTGTGGTTTCGAGTCAACAGTTGGGATTTGGGCTCTTTGGTGGACATTTGAGTCAACAGTTGAGATTTTGGGTCAACGATCGAGATTTGGGTCAATGGCTGAGATTTTGAGGAAAAACGTTATGGGCAGCTTTGGCCCCAAACCCCAACTCTTTGTCCCAGATCTCAGCCCTTGACTCCAAATTCCTTTCATCAACCCTACAGATCAAATCAAGACCGAAATCTCAGCCACTGACCCCAAATGTCAACCACTGACCCCAAACCTCAACCAATGACCCCAAACTCTGCAAAAGGTAAAGGTTGGGGTCAATGGCTGAGATTTTGGGTCAATGGAAGGCATTTGGGGTCAACGTTTGACGTTTGTCATCATCGGTTCAGATTTGGTGTGAGGGGCGGAGCTTTGGGGACCCCACAAAGGGGGTCGATGGTATCAGCACCACAACAACCAGCAACAGCATATCTGGCACAGAAATAGGTGGCGGAATCCTCGTCCCTGAGGTTGTTCATTTGCAGCGTCACCGAGCTCTGCCCGTTGTCCCTGGCGATGCTGAACCGGCCCTTCACCGACGGCGCGTAGAAAGTGCGGGAACCATCCGTCCAGATCCCAGCGAGCCATTCCAGCCCCTTCCCGGGGCTCTGGCGAACCCAGTTCATGTAGTACCTGCCGAAGGTGAAGCCGGAGGGGCGGTAGAGGAGCCACAGGGGCTGAACAGGGCAGAGATTTGGACCAATGGTTGAGATTTGGGGTCAATGGTTGAGATTTGGGATCAGTTCCTAAAGATTTGGGTCAACAGTTGAAATTTCAGGTACAGTGGTTGAGATTTGGATCATGGGTTTAAATTTGGGGTCAGTGGTTGAGATTTGGGGTCAATGGTTGAGATTTGGGGTCAATGGTTGAGATTTTGGGTCAGTGGTTGAGATTTGGGGTCAAGGGTGGACATTTGGGACAAAGAGTTGGGGTTTTGGGTCAAAGGTGGAGAATTTGGGGTCAAACCAGGCCCAAGGTTGGGAGCGGCGAACGAGAGCTGGGTGTGAAGGGGCGGAGCTT